AGCAAGAAGTGCTAGAGAAGAAACTGTTAGCATAGAACTTACGGTTGCATCTAGCTATTTCAACTGTAAAATGTGGATCCCTTGCTGCCAATCTAGTACTGCATTTAAATTCATAAGGTTTAGTTAAACTAAAACCGTGAAGAAAAAATTTCCTTGGTAGGAATCACTTTGGTGAGTCATATATTGTCACTTGAATGAAAGACGTCTTGCTTCCAGATTCACTTTTGTAAATGGTAGTAAATAGAATATTCTTTATTTCGGGTTCTCGAGGAACCTCAACCTATGACCGTTACTATAAAAGGAGAGAATCCTTTCACACACGGAAGGTGACAACTGCTTATTTCCTTCAAACATAAATTAAATAGATTAGATCTTGCATTAATAGTATCTAAAACAAAAACAGACAAATAATCAAACATGCTAACATACAAGTTGGAGGTATCTAAATTTCTTGTTTTTTGGCATTTTCTTTAAATATCGTAAATAAAGAAATTTGAAGATTTAATCTACAGGGTGCGATGGTTAAATTGCCGCAATTTTATATTTTTAATTTCACGCATGCGCGTTGTTTGTTTCTGATTTAGTCCACTGCACAATATAGTAGGATCAGTTGGACACCGTCTGTGACGTAATTCATTCCACCAGAAATTTGGAAACGGCATTCGTACCGGAAGCTTCAATACGAACATTTCAGAGTGTTTAGGTGTCAATCTGTGGACAGACGAAACACGGGAGGCTACATTAAGTGCTTTGGTGAGGTAGTGTTGCCCTAGATCAAGAAGATGGCTGCTGGAATACCCTATGTATGGCAACAGGACTCTGCACCATGCCACACAAGCAGGAGTATCCAGTCATAACTGTCAAACAATTTCTCCGACCACACCACCCCATACATCTGGCCATCTAAATCCCCAGACTGCAACCCCCTTGATTATTATGTGTGGGAATAATAATAATAATAATAATAATAATAATAAATGCTTTTATGTTACACCAAAAATGGTTCCCAGCCTTTTGAGTTACTGATGGTGTTAACATGTACGTATTTTATCTTGGTGAATTAGGATGGATTACAGAAAATATACCTTTCAGTATCACAGAGCAGTCGTGTTCGTTACGTTCACTTACGCACAAATATCTCTGGGAAAGACATGAATCTATCTCTTCTCCCCCAGCTGTGGGTTAAATAGTAAGAGATGTATCTGGAAAAATAATTGTTATGAACTTACCTCTATGGTATCTAGACTTTATGAATTTAAACGCAATACTAGATTAATGGCAATGTCTCATTATTTTACAGTTGAAATAGCTAGATGTAAGCAAAAGTTCTATGATGACAGTTTCTTCTCTCGCACTTCTTGCTTGTGGAACTCTCTTCCGGTTTCTTGCTTCTCTAATTTAAATGAAATGCCAATTGTCATCTTTTGCCTTCTTTATTCATCTTCTTTTATTGTTATCTCTCCTTAATAATGTTTTAATTTTCATAATCTCTCAGTAAACTCTTGCATTCTAGTGTCTTTATTGCCTTAGTTTGGGCTGAAATGATTAAAAAAGACCAGAAATACTTTCATGATTATATCATATACAATATTAAATTCCGTTAGCAATTATTTTTTATATTTATTATTATCTCCTTAATAGTGCTGTCTTCTTATATTTTATAAAATTCAGTAACCCTAGCGTCTTAGTGGCTTTATTACTTTGCTTGGTGTGAAATGATTAAAAAGAAATTAATACTAAACATACATTTTTACATTTTTATTTGTTACTGATTAAGTAGAAAATGCTTCAGTCCAATGGTAAGACTTCTCTTTCTCTTTGTTTCGTTTTCTTCTCATCCCCAATACTATTTATCTGCCCTCTTTCCCTCTCTCGTCCATTCTCTTTTTTTATTTTATCCTAGTCCACTTTATTTTTACAACAACTTCTTCTTCTTCTTCTTCTTCTTCTTCTTCTTCTTCTTCTTCTTCTTCTTCTTCTTCTTCTTTCCCCCTCCTCCTCCATCTCTTCTTGTAATTCGAACCTTTGTCTCTGGTGGCTTAATTTATCCGTCTTTTACGGTACAGCGCGACTTGTGGAAAACGAATTCGTAATCAATCATTTAGTAGAGAAGTACCTAAACCACTGCACACCGATTAGGTGCTCGTTAATTAAGCGACAAGCAGTCATAACAACACCAGACTTCCATAATTTTATATTCTTTGATGTTGTAATCAAGCTATCCAGTAATAATAATCCGAGAAGATTGCAAATTCAGAATTTAGCCGACTTTTGCTGACAAAATCAAAATTCTAGCTTACGTTCGGGCGTTGCAGGCCGCCATTATCTTTCGTTGCATCTACGGTGCGCCTCGTTTCAGCGCTCCCTAATTCGCTTTTGTTTAATGGAAGCCTTACCAACAAGATTCTTTTGACGCGATCGTCTTTGATCGATTTGAGCCAATCTGATAAAGAGAAACATTCTAGGACGAAGCCTGGTAAATGAAGTAGTAGTCACCACGTGGGGAAAAAGAACGCAGGAACGGAAAAACACCCAAAGCATGAAAGATTAAAAGAAAATAGCGGGAAAAAAAAAGGACAAAGAAAATAAAAGAAAGAAAAAGAAAAAAAAAAGACAAAAGAAAATCTACACAAAGCAGAATAAAATAAAATAAATAGATGAGAAGACAAAAGAATGGAAAATAAAGAAATAAAATGCCACCAAAAGTTTACGAAAAAGAAGAACGAATTGAAAGCCTCAAACAAAAGAATCCAATAAACACCAAGAAAAAAGTGAGAAAAAAAGAAGAAAAATATTTAAAAAAATGAGAAAAATAAAGAAAACAAATCAAGTGCGTTTAAAAAAAACAAAAACAAACAGTAAGTAAAAACAATAGTATATTTAACAATCAGAAAAAAATGCTAATATTAAAAATAAAAATGCAGAGACTCTCAGTCCTTGCTACACTTTCCACTAAGTTTGCATTCATTACGTGTAATTATAACTAAAAAGATGTGGCGAACGTTTTTATTCTTCGGAAGTCAAAATGAAGAATGTATACCCCACTTTATTAACGCGAAGGCTTTAAACGACAAGAAAATAATAAAACTTGATAAAAGAACATCACCAATATTTTCCGTCCAATCAAAACTCTACTGAAGACCATTTACCGGAAGTCTGTCTGGAGAACAATGAGTCTCTTGTCGTTCATAAATAGATAAGCTGACACATAGCGAAACACTCAAAAAGTGTCCGTGAGATCAATAGATTTACCCTCACCTCCTACAGCCCACACGAACATTTCGGCCAATTAGTAACAAGCACGAATAATGACTATAGACGCTTCCTCACACTGGCTCCTTAGGTTAACAGGCTTCATCACCCAATGCATCTCAACACTATTCACGTCCTACGCGCCTACAACAAAGAAATATTCAACCAGAGAACCTCTTAATACTGCTGCTCAGTAGTTTAGTTACCATACAATTAATGACTTGTTCACTTACAAACAACTATACCAACTACAAACATGGCCACAAGCAAGATTGAGTGAAAGATTATCCTTTCAGTTATAAACCATTTCATTACTGCACTGTTCTTCATTTCAGCACGGTATGCAACAATTAATAATAAATCTTTCGTTATTATTATTATTATGATTTCACTTAATTCGTAGTCTGATTTCTTTGTTTTGTTTTCTTCACAACGTATAGACCGTTCACAGTAGAGAATCAAATAGCAGCTACGTCTTGCTTGATAAAGTGATGTAATATTAGATCTGCTACTTTTACGAAATAGCTACAAATAACAACCCCGAGAAAACGGGAGGATTAAAACAGAGTATAGTAAAAAAAGAAAAAAAAAAGAAGAAGCGAAATCATCATGGCAGCCAGAAATTGCAACAAAATTAACAAGACAGTTACAGATGCCGGATCAGAAAAAAAATAGACTTGAAGTCTAAAAAAGTATGATGTTTCTGTAAAGTTCAATCGGCAACTAACAAGAATTGTAGATGAAAGAACTAGGTCATGATTGCGCAAAGGACAGTTGATAAGGTAAACATAATTAGTAATAATAAAAATATATTAAAAAAAAACGCATGAAAACCTAAAAATACAGAGAATGAGAGTAATGTTAAACTCTTAGAAGAACAGGAACTACAAAGAAACGGATGCTAGCAAACAGAAATTGACAGCGAAATTTAATAATGAGGAAAGAAGGTTTGGAAAATTTAACATTCACATGGCACACTGGAAGCAAGAGAAGCAGCAAATAACTTAATGAGTTTTTTTTTTTTACATTTTTGTGTTTGTTTCTTTCATTTTGTTTCTTTTTTTTGTTATTTTTGTCTTTGCCTGAATTTTATTTCTAAAATTGCATTATTTGAATTTTATTACTAATTACATTATTCGAACTGTTATCCTCATCTTCAGTGCCATATATACAACGTTTCGGCCGTTGTACGCTCCGGCCTTCTTTCGAATTTCGAACCGGACCTTTTATTTCGTCCACCGGGGTAGAATGTTCTAGGTCCACGTGTCATGCCTCTTCCGGATGTCTCAGTTATTTCCCTTTAACTTAACTCTCCTGGCCTTTTGGTTCACCACTGTTGTATTGAACACACAACTCTTTGGGTCTAGTCACTGGATCTAACCAACGTCTTTATCCAGTGAGCCATGTATCCTTGACATCTTTGAAATCTTCCTCATTTTAAAGTGTTCATTTTGCTTTAAGCGGCAAAACAAGGTTTAGAGTGATTGATTTGATTTTTTACGGCTTATCAACCTTTTGCCAGTTATTTCTAGTCGGTAAATATTTTTTTTAGATTGTAATAATTTTTTTAGCGGATAATAATGATTTACTGATATATGTTCGACTAAATAACCCATAACTGGTGCTAGAAAAGGTGGATTCAAGTCATTCCCAAGGGTATTAGCGCGTAAGTGGATTAATGATCACGAATTCGGCTCTCAGATTTCCACTTTCGAGCTGTCATCCATTACACTATTCTCACATCCAAGCCTACAGCCCGGGCATTCCCAAGCAGTCACCCATCTAGATACTGACCAGGCTCGATGTTGTTTAACTTCAGTGATCATGCAAGAACTGGTGTTTCAATACCCTAAAACAAGGATCCGTAAGCTGGCAAAACAAGGATCACAGAGACAACGAGAGGCATTCAACTGACAAGAGTCACTTCGAACAATAAAGTATAAGATGTGAATAGTCATGACTGCTCTTCTACTAAAAGCAAATAAAAGAAGAAATCACACAGTGAATGTATCAGTGACAGAAAAGAGACGAAGTAAGCGCGATGACCTACTGAAAAATGTGCAAGTGTTTATGATTTAAACATAGTACAGAAGCTGTTCCAAATTACTCGATAATAGATGACATCGAATCAGCAGACCTCAGATTCAAATTGAAAAAGTAAAAAGCTGAAACCATAATTAGAATTAGACAGATTATTAAATACGTTTATATCTCTGCTCGCCTTGCATATATTTTTTTTAAATCTGTATCTCCCCATGCAAGGACGCAAAGCCACTAAGACTCGCTTTACTGCGATACCAATTAAAGAAAAATAAATAAGGAAGAATAAGGAAAAGAAACCTTAATAATGAGCAGGAAGAGAAAAGAGTAATCAGGAGGATATGAGATAGCGATTGACATTGTATTTAAATTTTGGAAGATTAAGGTTGGCTGTAAGGCATGGATTCACAAGCGAGAAATGCGATAAAAGAAATAGGGGAATGGGGAATACAGTGGTCTTCATCTGTCAACTTTAAACTTAGCTAGCCCAAACAATATTCCTAACCCCAAAAACAACGAATTCTTACTTACCATTCTTATTACATACGCCATAATACCTCATTGTCTCTATGAAAGTCCTAACTAGTCCTCATACGTATAATTCATTGTCTGTGGGAGGGGAGGATAAAACAACAATTTAGAAACTAGCCTCATCGAAATAATTGCCATGAAAATATTTATAGAAAAGTCACAAAGAGGCAACCTTACGGTATTAAGAGACTGAAACTGAGCCGCCAGATCAGGACCAATAATATTGCTGATTTAACTTTGGATTTTATTAAGGAGTTAAAGGTAAATAGCAAAGGCACCGGATCATGTGTGGCTGAAATATTCTATGCATGGACGAATAGTAGACTTATAGATATGCAAGATAGATTCCGGAGAGGAAAAGTGTGTCACAGGACTCAGTGAACCAACTTTCTTAGAAGTTGACCCAGCAATGGATTCAATATAGTCTTTTGACATCTGTATAATACTAGCATTACTTTAGTCAAATGTAGACCGTTTAGAAGACGAACATGTAACGGAGATTTTTTTTCATTGTTATTCAATTACCAAAAACAGAGAATGAAAAGGAATTGTGGAGTTTGAAAATGACAGTTTTACTCATTACTGCGGCACGCGCTGAACACTCCCTAAAAGCGTTTCAAAAAGATTAGAAAAGCGTGAACTAGGGAAATTATTGCAACGGACGACATTGCTAAAATTACTAACATCAGTTAGAATACTGAATTTTAGATTACTAAGTAGACTTATCACCTGATTTTCGGCAAACACTATTAAATAAAAGACTCAAATAAAAATAAAGAAAAAAAGGAAGAAAAATAGAAAAAAAAATTTAAAAATAAAAATAAATTAATTTACTTCGTTTTTGTTTGTTTGTTTAATAGCATATCAACTCTTTATGAGTCATTTAATGCCGAAATTTTAATGCCGAAATGAATTTAATTTTCTTTGAACTTTAATAATATTTTTTCTAACAAAAATATATTGGTGGTAATTTTTTTCATTATGAAAATGTATTGCTATTATTTTTACCATAAAAATGTATTTTTATATTTTCACAATGTTTTAAACTTAGTTTTGGGGCTCACTATTTGCCCATAGATGGAACCCTAACAGGTGTTACCACCCCGGATCAGGGTAGACCTGGGACCAACAGCAATTAAGAGATGGTTCCATGCCCCTCAAAACCTCCGGACCAGAGGCCTTGCTGCCAGATGTAATTTATCGTCATACCCAGGACTGAATTAATTTAATAGCATGGTCGTCAAGTTTCAACACATACAAAACAATCCTGCCGTAATCAAATTTATTTTTGCATCAATAAATACATTAAGAAGGGGCAGTGAACTAAAACGAGATGTTTCTAGACTTGGACAGGGGAATGAAAATAATCTAACCCTGTAGATTGAATAAAGTGTTCAGTTCAAAATTCATGGGTCGACACATGAAGACTGGAGGGTGCAACAACCGAAATGTTGTGAGAGCAGCCATAAGGTAAGAAAAATGAGGACGATGGCCCGACTGTAAATAATATCCGTAGAGAAATACTATTTGTTTTTTGTTCCATCCCCATGAGAGTCCACCTGTGGCTCATACTGCAATTATGCTGAGAGGACCCTAGTTCCAGTTTCTAGGAGAGAGCACCTAATTTAGCGTGATCGCCAGTTTGCACAAAGCCAAAACCGATGTCACAATGATATGTGAAAGACGGCTTCTATCTTTTGGTGTCTACGCACTTTCACTCACAAGGCTTGGATCAACCACTGGGGTGGGGGTCTTTCCAACCGTACCGCACGCTGGAATTGTCTCCTCAGATCAATCGTTATCAAGAAGTCACCTTCCTAACAAATCAACGATCGTGAGATTCAAATCGGAGTCTCATGTTCGGAACGCTAGCGTTTTCTTGAAGAATAGAATTCTTAAATGAGGTCGAAATTGCACAAATTTGATGTCATTCACTAGAATCTATAAACACGAGCAAATTAAAATAGCGACAGAAGAAATTTAACGAACCAAACTATAAATATTTTCATGGCAGTTGTTATAATGGTACCTCGAACGCATGAATTTAAACGTACTACTAGATTGGCTGTTAGGTCTCATCGTTTTAGCTAGATGTATAAGTATGTTCTATTTTAACAGTTCGCTTTTCTCGTACTTCTCACATCATCTTCAGTGAAAATTTCAGCTAATGACGTGGTAGCAATTTAGTGGATATAGGTATTTAAACATGATCATGACAACCTGCTGAATTTCATTTCATGCATTAGCGTAAGAAAGAAAGGTGATTTAAGTGCAATTGAATGGTCTTTGGTGCCAAACAAGAGGGTTTGAGCATTTCAAAAACTGCTGACGTAATAGGATTTTCGCGTACAAATGCAGAAGCATGTATGACTATATCTTATAGATTACACAAGAGCGTTTGAAAGGTACGTCATAATGAAATATTTGAACTGCCATGTAAGCTTTATTTATTTGTGAAGGATATAATCCAGAACATATACTGGAAGCAAACTGCCTGCATGCGGATAGAAAATTTAGTAAATATACTGAAATAGAAAGGGTTGTAAGACAAGGATGTCTTCTCGCCGATCTTATTCAAAGTTTGCATTGAGGCGACGATGAGAGAATTAGAAGTTAAACCAGGATTAGTTATTGGCAGTCACAATCTTATCAACATAAAATATGCAATGATACCGTGTTGATAGCAGATATAGAAAAGAAACAAGATGTACTCCTAAAGGAAAGCAAGAAGAAAGGACAGACTAAACATCAATTATATGATGACAGAAAGCGCATAGTTGTCAGAAAAAAGAAACAGCCAAAGATGCAAACTATGAATTGGCGACACCAAAATCATGCAAGGGCTAAAAGATAAATACCTAGGATGTTTTTTAAGAGAGGACGGCAACAAACGCGACACCGAAATCCAAAGTTAGATTGAAATAGCGAATAATGCCATCAAACGACTGAGCAATGTATTAAGAAACAGGAAAATGTCGTTAGAAACAAAGAAAAGAATACGTATGTAATATCGACCCCTCCTATACGGGAGTGAATGCTGGACAATCTCAACACAGACGAAGAAGAGACTTGAAGCAACAGAAATGTGGTTCTACAGAAACATGCTGAGAATCCTATGGATTGAACATGTGAACAACGATAGAATTTTACGGGAAATGCAAACAAAAAGAACACTTATAGCTAGAATCTGACAAAAACAATTTAATTTTTTAGGGCACATAATGACAAAAGATGGCTTGGAGAATTTAACACGCACAGAACACATTGAAGGTAAGAGGTCACAGAGGAAAGTAGCGAATAATCTACTTAATGTGTTTGTGTAAATGTTTGGCAGAACAGAGAGAGGGAGAAAGAAAGAGCGAGCGAGAGAGAGAGAGAGAGAGAGAGAGAGAGAGAGAGAGCAAAAGACAAAAATGACTAAGCGCTATAAAGGAAAGGAAGTTCTGGTGAAACATGATACCCCATACCCTAAACACGGCACATATAATAATAATAATGAAGAAGAAGAAGAAGAAGAAGAAGAAGAAGAAGAAGAAGAAGAAGAAGAAGAAGAAGAAGAAGAAGAAGTATATGCCCATTTTCTTTTATTTGAAACCACTGTGCAACTGCAAAATGCTAATAAGCACTTTCTCGAAAACGATTATTCTTTCGTAACACAAAGCGACTGTGAATCGACGCCTGCGAAATGTATTTAAAACGCAATGCAAATTTCGGGAAAAGATTGAAATCATTCAGACGATGGCATTAGTAACAAAGAATGCTGAAAACAATAATGGGACATTGAGGAGACTTGCTGTCACATGATAGTTTAACAAAGTATTCGGACAACAAAATCACTCCGCTTAAACACTGTGTTAGCAAAAGAACACAACTATCTTAAATGCTTCATAAACATTGAATAAAATAAACGAAAGAAAAAAGAGTTTTCTCAAGCTTAAATGATCTGCAGGCTGATCTTATAAGAATTCTTTTGTTTGTAGGAATAACTTTGAATTTTAAAATTTACTGTAGTAACAGTTTTCCATAGGTTGTGTGTACACTTCTGCCCATGCCATGGTGGGTAAAAAACAAAAAAGGGCAGTTTTATTTGTGTTTTGAGCCTTATATATCCCAGCATCACGTCAGTATCATTTTGGTCAATGAGGAAGATTCTTATATTTACTGCGTACTGCATTTTCAAAACACAGGGGAATGACACTTGTTCGTTCTGAGGTTCCTTCTTTTTGATAGTAATTTATTTTAAATCCAGTACACTTAATCTCCAATGAAAACCAGT